TGCGCTGCAAAGGACGTCGAAAGCCGACGGTCTTCCGTCTGAAGGCACTGCGTAAAATATGGCGCCATCTGGCAGAAGTGTGAAGAAACGAACGTTTTTTTACTACCCTTGTCACTGGTGTGCGGCAGCACCCGGTGGTGGTTGTAAAACATTCGTTTTAGATAAAGCTCCAGAATTTTTTAATCGAAGCGCAGGAAACATGTACTGTTTCGTTCATAGCGTAGCATTGTCAGCGCGACGTAATAAACACTTCGGTCTGTAGAATTACGTATCTATGCATTTGATCGATTAATTGATTGATTTTCGAAATACAAATGCGCACTTCCTAACACTTACGTATTGGTGTTGTGCCTCGAAAATGCGTAATATTTGCTTTTTGATTGCCAATGTTCACAATTATGAACGCAGCCACCAGATCAAGATATTATAGGGCTTCGAGCACAGCTCGGCCTAAATATTCGCCTGGTGGCTGAAATGCCGGGCAGACAACTAGGGACAGACATGCCATTGCGTACAAGTATCCCAATAACGGTTATCGTCACTGAAAAAGAAGGAGACAATAGTCGGCCTAAAAAGTCACTTCATTTCATCATAGTCACCATGATTACAAAAGGTGGTGGCTATGCACGACCTCAAACCTTGACAAACAGCGTTTAATAAAGAAAGGTGATACAACGTGACGGAAAGCCTTGCAAAACAGAAACTTCACAGCCTGTTAAAGGAAAGGAGTCTGCGAGGCCGAGCTGGTTGATTTTTTTTTCTTTCGCATGATGATACATCGTCAACGTAGACAAGTTCCGCTTCTTACTTCCTTCAGCACACGTTATGGAGCCGGAAGCGAGGCCGTATATATGCGTCGACAGCGAAAACAGAAGCAGGGTGGCCCTCGCCGACTTTTGTTTTAACGCAGATTTGCATACTTCACCTCGCCTCATGCTGTCCCAGGTGCGTGCTTTCGCCGGGTAACGTAACTGCGTATATTACTCAGTGCTTCGACCTCGCGTCGGTGTGTCTGTTGTTCACCTGATGTACGAGCTTTCCGCGCGCAGGCCGCGTTCTGTCAGCAATATTTACACGGGGAGTGCGCATTGGTTGGCGTCAATAAAGTACTTTGCATATGGGACAGAATAATACGCCAACAGAAATAAAGAAATTATATAAAGAATGAAACGTATACCCTAATTTACTAGAGTTGCTCTGTAGGGCACCAGGCATGACCAAATAAAAGAAAGCATTGAATAGGTTCTAAAAAAGACTTCGTGGCTGGAATAATAAAAACACCTGACAAAATGCGCACAGTCTGTCGTACAGCCATAATACCAAAGAAAAAATGGCAGCATATCCACGGAGTGAATGACGGAGAGTGGGGCGAATCATTCGTCCGTCCATTCGTTCTTGCTTCCGTCCGTCCATCCGCCCATCCCTGCGTGCGTCTGTTCTTGCGTCCGTCCCTGCGTTCGTCCATGCATCCGCCCCTGCGTCCGTTCGTGCGTCCATCCATGCATCTGTGTGTCCGTTCGTCCATATATTCAACACTTCAACTAGCACCACCTCGCATCTTTTCATCATATATTCCCCATATAGAAGCACCGCCATCCAGCGGACATTCCAAGGACTATACGAGAGGTGGCACACGCACAAATTCTTACAGCTTGCGCTTCGGGTCTACTTCCCACCTTTAACCACCTCGAGTTCATGGTATATACTAGTTCACTGTATTCATGATACTGCGGCTCAACGCTCGCTAAACCTTTCTAAAACTAAGGAGGTTACACCCAGCGAGTATATCGTAGCAACCCTTTCTTGTCAGATAGTGCTCAATGTACAAGCCAATGGCTGTTAATGGGGATCGCAGCATGCGCGTTAACTAAAAGCCGAATGCTCCTGTCTTTCATTCCCCCTTAGCAGCCATTGGCATGTACAGTGAGCACTATCTTTTATTGTTCAACAACGCATACTTAACAAAGACGGTATTACTTAACAAAGACGGTATTATAGCAGACTGCAACAAGCGCTTAAGTACGGAAAGCGCTCCAAATATGGCCTGCCCTAGTACGCAATAATATTGCCTCAAAGGACCTTGCCTGGAGAGTCAGTGTGAAAGTGCACTGATATTGCCTGTGTTTCATTTCATCGTTACGGCTGTATATTACACTGTGTTATGTGTTAATTCGTTCAAAAAGCTTATCTGGCTTTGGCACACCTGGCCACAGTAATTTAGCGTAATAGGGGCATTCATAAAGTATAATATTGTTGTATCTCTTTAGTTTGCGTTAATTGGCTTACTTTGAAGGTGTTATTTTGAGCCATTTTGGTCCTCTTCGAATACTATGTGGTTGTACACCAGTAACGTCTAATTGCCAGCATATCGTGACAGTGCAATACTTTGCAGTATCTTGAGTACCAGATGTTCCTTATTTATTGACAGCTGGGAGCAGCTGTGATTCACACATGTTACATATTAGGCACCTTTATTCCTTCCTAGCGTTATGTAACAGAAACATACAGTGCAATTGCACCAAGATGAATGTCTGGCTTGGCAGGCTCAATTGCTCAGCTTTGAAGCGTAGACGTCGCGGCACAAACAGTGCAATTAAATGTGGTAAATGCCCGAGCATATTGATAATGCTTCTCCATAGCCATCCTTCGTTGATTCGATTTTATAGACTTCGCGAAGTGCAAAAGGCTGCATTCTTGTTTACTGCGTAGATTTTGTTGACAAAAGCAGACAACGTTTGCTTTTGGATAAAAAGTCTAGCGTATAGCCCAATCAATTATTCAACAAGAGCCTATCATGCTTGAGCGATCTATTCTTATCTGCTTGCATAAAAAATTATGGTTCCAGCTTCATGAAGTGCGTTAGAATCACCACCACTGACGATGCGTCGAGCGTAACAAAAACACAAAGAAGCGAATACTGGTTGCATTTCATGTGAAATCATTCGGTGACAAACTATAGTCAGTAGCGAAAAACAAACATCCTTCTTATACGCCGCTGACAATGCACCTGTTGGTAATCCATCAGATCACGTGACGCTTAGGCGTTATATATTCGTATGTGGGGTGCTCGTAAGAACAAAAACATCCGGGAAGGAAAAAACATATTTTCCCCGTTTTTTTTTTTTTTTTGCGTAGTCGCTACAACAGAACTTGTGCACGGAATACGAAAACAGTATGTTTCTTTGTTTTGCGTGCAGTAGTCAAAGTTAGACTGCTTTGAACATTTGCGATAGGACAATGACAACCCAGTGTGTTGAATGGACAGCAGTGTGTGTGTGTGTGTGTTTTTTTTTTTTAGAAGAGATGACGCTTGTCTACACTACAGTGTCTTGAAGGGCTCAGACTTCAGTGCCAGTGTTAGAGTTCGGCAGGCCGAAAGTAGAAACTGTTGAATTACGGGTCAGCATGTGACAGCCTTTATTTATTTATTAATTTATTTATTTATTTATTTATTTATTTATTTATTTATATGTGGGGGTTTAACGTCCCAAAACCACCATATGATTATGAGAGACACCGTTGTGGAGAGCTCCGGAAATTTCGACCACCTGGGGTTCTTTGACACGCACCCAAATCTGAGCACACAGGCCTACAAGATTTCCGCCTTCATGGGAAATGCAGCCGCCGCAGCCGGGATTCGATCCCGCGACTTGCGGGTCAGCAGCCGAGTACCTTAGCCACTAGACCACCGCGGCGGGGCCCTGTGACAGCTTTGCAGACTGCTATATTTTCAAAAGGGCACTACGTTCTCCGGCTTCGCAGCGAGACTCGCGGGACCCGTTTTTTTTTTTTTTTTTTTGGAGCATGTATGTGCAAGAGCGTATGTATATGCGCATCAAATGAAAGAACAATAAAAGATTTTCCTAATCCGCAAGCACGCTTCTCTGTTATGCATATTCGCCCTACAAATGACGGTGCTTCAAGTGGGAACGAGGTCCTGATTGGCCGGGTTGGGGCCGGTGTATTATTCGTGTCTGTAACAACACAGCCGAGTCAACATTCTCCACGTCATAGCGCTACCAAACTGTGCTCGAATACATTGCTCTTAGTAAGAGGCTAGCTGCCATTAGTAGGACAAGCTGCATAGCAAGGAAGCTAGCTTAACTGTTATGAAAATGGTTTATTAAGGTGAACATAGGCCAGGTTTGGTGTCACGTGTGGAAACGCTGCTGAAATTATTATTATTATTATAATTATTATTATTATTATTATTATTATTATTATTATTATTATTATTATTATTATTATTATTATTATTATTATTATTATTATTATTATTATTATTATTATTATTATTATTATTATTATTATTATTATTAACCTTTCTCTGAATACCTCAGAAACTAAATTCAGAGGAGGTCCCCCTGCGATTTTGTGCTTTCGGACCTCCTCCTGTATATCTACTCCGTACGATGTTCCCTTTTCTGTACTAATAACTGAAATAAACTTGAAACTTGAAAACAGCCATCTTGTCATTTACATGTTTTGTCAATACCATGTGATCACGTAGAGTAAATGAATTCAGTCATCTTGGTTTTCTTTTTTTTTTTTTGATAGCATGCTATTTTTCACTGCTCACACTAAACGCGCCGCCATGCGTAGTACAATGCGAATGGCGCTCGGAAGCGTTCACAATCTCTTTTTTTCGTAGCAGGACGCCGTTTATTGCAGACCTAAAAACTGCGGAAATGAACGCATTTCAGCTATAGTTGGGCTGTGACCTACGAATCTACTCAAGCTGCTGAAAGTGAAGTTTAGGCTGGAGGTAATTTGAGAACGAAATTATTATTATACTCAAAACGTTTAATGTGTTCACTTCGGTGCAGCCTCGTTGCTTTTTGTATTGTACAAGCTTATTCCTTGTGGCCTGAACATGCTGTTTCAATTCATACTTTAAAGGGGAGTCATTAGGTACTTCCTATTGTATTTTTCTTAATGCAAAACTTTCTGGGTTTCGCACTTACCACAAATTCCTTTTTTTTTCCTCCATGTTTTTGCAGATGTCCTAACCCGACCACACCGGTGAAGAGAGACTACGCCTTCAGACGGTGCAGTATGAATCCTCAAGATTGTGCACGTTATGGCGTCCATAGGCCGTCATTCACGCAGGTGAGATTCAATACTGCCGTTTCATCATCATGAGCAATGGTTGTCCCTCTATAGACCTTCATCAAACGAGTATGGCTGTCGTCTGCTTTTTTCACTTCACGGAAAAACACCGCACGTAAGATAAGGCATACTGTATACAGTGACACGTTACGACGCTACATTTGCTTAATGAAACAAGCTGATATCACTATAGCTGCTGCCTCAGTCTTCTCGCGTCGACTGGCATTCCGAGGATTGCTGATTTCGGCTGCTTCCTAGTGCGCGACTTTGTTTACTAGACTACTATTTTGTTATCATATTTCATTTTGTATAGCTTCCCTGAGCCCTGAAGCAAGAAAACACAACAACAAAACAACAACAAAAACGTTGACGTATATACTAAATGCAAGTACACCACTTTCGAATGCTCTCGTCCCGATATTTGACCTCTCATGTTCCAGCAAATACTGAATAAATCACTGAATGACTACGAAATCTCTATTTAGTTGTATAAACGCTACTCCACGGCAAAATGAATAAGGCCGTTATATATATCCAGTCATACCTCGTCAAGCACAACGTCCGTTTCGCCAGCGTTATATTATTATTATTATAATTATTAACCGAGGACCTTGGCAACATCGGAATGAGGGCCCGATTGTGGTCATTTTTCTGACAAATACAATTTGCGTGGCAGCCTCTTGCGAAGCGCTTGCTGTGTGACATTCGATTTGAGCCGTGTGAACAGTTACACGCTGCCAGACTTGCGTTACAAGCATAGCGTCGGTCTATTTCCGCGCTTCAGGTTGCCCTTTGGCGGCGAATTACTCGTGTAATGAGCGCCGCAGCGGTCGCTAATTACATGACGTCGAATCGCATAAGGAGGTATATCGCAAACGCGCGACAGCGCAATTACGTCACTGGAATGTCATGAATAATGCAGCGATTCGACGGCCTTTGCTACGCAACTGGTTGTCATTAGTGATGTCACGGACTGGCTTCTGCAGCTGCGTTCGACGCGTGTCGATCGTATTTCGTAAAATGTGCGGTGTTTCTATGGCGCCTTTACTCAGTCAATCGTTTCGTCTTGCGATTACACGTGTCGTTTCGTATATTCATCCGAAAGAGAAACCGTTCAGCCTCTGTTATTAGTACAGAAAGGGAAAGGAGGTGGGGTAATGTCAAATGTGTTTAAGCATTCTTGGCAGCCGAGCACTGTTTATTTCAACCTCTGGTCGCACTTTCTTCGATCCAAGTCTAACACAGGGGCAGTGAGCAGGAATCAGGGGAAAGAAAACTCTGTAGGTAACCTTCAGCCTCGACTTGGGGGTCTGGCAGGGGCGATTGCGCTTCGGCGTTCGTCGGGCCAGGTTCATTCCTGGGGTTATTTTTGTGTTTCGTGGCACAGTCGAAGCGCCGCTGAGAGAAAGCACGTCATATAGAGAGATTTTGGAAGAGTAAAAAAAAAAGAAAACGTCATTCAGTGTTCGTGCCACTAACAATGCTGAGTTAATGATAAAGATGCAGCACTAGTAATCATAACGCTCTATCTTCAAATACAAACCATTATGTCACGTGTTCGACCACTCCTCTGTAGGATGGCTTAATGCGTCACGAGAAGAGCAAAAAAAAAAAAACGTCTAGATCAGGACGATGTAGAGAGAGAGGGCAGTGGTGTGGTTATTAAGCTGTGTTTGAGGGTGATCAAAGCTTTATCAGGCCTTTCTTTGCATTCACGCCGACTCAAAGGTGACTATGTGTAGTGATTACCTGAAAAAAAAAGATATTTCGAAGAAAAACACACTTACGGCAATCATATTGGCCTAAAACTTTCATTCGTCTCCCATGTCTATTCACCGGCAGTTATAGAAAATACTAGAAAAAATAGGAGGGCTACTTCGCTTACAATAAGAATTTTCAACAGTTCTCTCTACGTACGTCTGTTATGAGCAGTTAAAACTTTAGCGCATGGCATTTACCTACCTTTAGCGCTCCCTCTTATGATACATCCCTGGCGATAGTTCGAGTGAATAAGCTGTGGGAAATGCACTTGTTATTGAGGTCCGCTATGCTTCGCCATGGTCCTTAGCTGGAAGACGATGCACCAAGTTACTGTGCCTTAGTTGCTACATACCTATACAATCACGGTTTTCTTTTGTTCGGTCAGGCCCGTACACAACTGCCACCTTTCGATGAACAAATTTAGGGGCATTAGACAAACGCCACACTAGAACTTTATTCATCGCCAAAGCTTTGAAACGCAGCTTCGAATTAAGTTAGCAACCGTTTCATTCCTGCATTCTAATCATATAGAAGCTGGGCAAACACCGACCCAAACAAAGATGACGATGTTTATAATATTCGTGACGCCTAAGGCAAGGTCCACCCGCCGTAGTGGAGCAGCAGTCAAGGTGTACGGCTGCTGACCAAAGGTCACGAGTTCGATGCCCGCTACGGCGGGCGCATTTCGATGAAGGCTAAATAGTGGACGCCCGCGTGTTGTGTGATGTCAGCGCACTTTAACCAGATGGTCGAAATTTACGAAGCCCTCCACTATGGCGCATCTCCTAATGATAGCGTGGCGCCCGTCTTCTTCTTGTCCCTTTATCGCCGTTATGATCTCTCGCTATAAAAATCGTTGTGCCATGCCACATAGCACAAGCCGGCACGCTTTAAGTGTTTTTGGCACGTAAAACCCCAGATAATATTATTAGGACAAGATCTGTAGCTACGAATTTTTTTTCTCGGTGAGGGAGGGGGTCCATCACTTACTGAAAGCCTTGTCTACTATTCTTGAAGAACTATTATTTGCATTATTCATTTTTCGCAAAATATACCCTCCCTCCACCTAAATTTCAGGGAGAAAAGCAAAACACTAACCCACTCGCGTATCCCATGATCTTCCCGCCTTAGCTACGAGCCCGTCTAGAGCAATCATAATGGGAGCACACGTGAGTTTATTCTTCGTAGCGCATCAGGTTCCGTCCAAGGCACGCGTACTTGTCCCAATTGGCCCGTTTAAATCTCTTCAATTCTCACGGACGAGAGGCGGGCTCCTTTGTTACGTTGCAGCGTCACCGTCTCAAAGCATCATTTAGCGAAGGTGTCTCCAAAGCATCCGCAAGCAAAACGTTGAATGTACGAGCATACATCTCAAAGCAAACACTTAAGGCGTAACTCTTTCAACTGCCACAAAGCGGAAGCAACGCGGGAGTCCGCATGAAAGGACGGACCACTTCCGAAGCAGCTCGAGCCTTTGCACTGTCGTTGCGAGTGTGGTGCAATTAACCCCTTAGCCCAAATCTGCGCCTTCACCTCGGGGCACGAGAACAAAATAATGGAGGCCCTCGCGTGTGATGTGATTCGTATACACTTGTCAAAACGCGAGCTCCTTACTTCTCTATGCGTACGCTACAGACATTGTGTACAGGTGTGTCGTGCCTCTGTGTGTGTGCGTGCGCGAATGAGTGGCCGTTCGCTCCGGTGTCTCTCGTAGGTGCGCGCCCGAGAACACGGGAGGTCCGCGGAGAGCAGGAAGCGCGCGTTTCGCTTTCGATGCGTAATTTCGCGAAATTGGGTTGGGCGGTTTGCACCCGCTCGGCTATCTATCTCATCGGCCTGTCAGCGGAAGTTTATTACTCACGCTACGAGACTTGACTGCGTTTTCTTTTGTCTTGAAGTTGCCTGGTTATTAGTTTTGGCTCCGGTGTAACCACTTCGCCGTTCCATTACTTTTCATCGACTTACGTTCGCATTAAACGTAATATTGAAATTGAGATGAAAAGCATGTGAGGAGAATGCTGAGAGAATGCAAAGTATAAAAAAGTAAAAAACAAAAAACTATGTAGATGGGCTTTCAGGAAGCAGAAATCTTGTGCCCAGTATTATATGCAGACCTACTGATTGACGTCATCCATTCACTCATTCAAACTAGAGTGGGACAAATGTAGTGTTTGCTGGCTACCTCATTGCCTCAATTTATGAATGCCTGGTAAAAGGAATTTCCTCAACGCTAAATGCGCCAAAGTTGATGCACGACACAGTATTTGGCTTGCACGGCCTGAAATAGTTGTTCTAGGTTTCATACGCCTATTTTCTCAACCACTACCTCTTATGCCGTGTGCGATAATATGAGTCTTTCCTATTATTCATGTGAACAAATGAGAAAACGACACACGGTTAAGGGGGGACTATGGCGTTTTTGTTAAAAGAAAAACAGCTTCTGCTTCACACAGCAGTTTTCTTTCTGTCTCACCATGTTTGATAAGTCAGAAGTGGCGCTTACAATCAAGCGTATAGGTGGCGTTCAGAATCTTCATGACCATAATGAATTACCATGAGCTCTGATAAAACGAGGCTAATTGCCTGCCAATACGCATGGACTTCCTTGAGTTGCAAATGATAAAATTCCATAGCTTTAGAGAACTCCTTTTGGGTAAAAATTGCCGAAACTCAAGATGTATTAGAGCATTACTTACGATGAATTACTTACTGCGCATCAGCTGAGCGTGGCGGAAGGTTTATGAACGGGACGTCTTGCTGACTTGCGTGCTGTGAAGTATCGGTGAGAAATAACATTTAACTTACTGTGTAGCCATTATCGTTAAATAGAGGGAAACTCTTCGACAGGATCAAGAGAAATGTCGATGTATGAAAATACTTGCATGTGCGGTTATGAGGTAGTCATCTATTCTACCTGTCTGCCTCCATGTGAAAAAAAAAAGTGCACCTTATGTTCCGTAAAGAGGTGCGGCCACTCCGACACTGTTAACCACCGAAGGCCACCGTTCATAACAGCTTACCCCCTCTGCCGAACTGGCCGAACACGGTTTCGATGCAGACGTGGAGCTAATCTTACTGGTCATTAGCCTGGTCCGCATATGCATTCCCTGCCAATGAACACAGTCATCATTCCTCGCGCTATGCACTGAGCTAGCCAAGCCCTGCGGGGACGGTCGTGATTGTTCTCATTCGATGCCAGTAGCCTGGCCCCGTATGCAGAAACGCAAACGCAAAACGTGCGTTGTGGGCTGTTACCAGCAGGTGAGACCTTAATTATCATCATGCCCTTCTTCATTATACACGTTACAGCATTCCCTTCCTATATGCACAATCCTAGTTTGGGGTCAAGGTGCATATAAAAAGACCGAGCTTATAAAAAGACCGAGGGTAATCTGGCCATCGATAGATTGAGCAATTTGTGAAATCTTTAGATGAATGCTGGACTCGGAAAGATTAATTCGCAGCGCTTGGACTTGCCAAGCTGTTAAGGATGAGGAGGAGGAGGAGGAAGGGAAGAAATGAAAGGCAGGGAGGTTAACCAGACGCACGTCCGGTTTGCTACCCTGCACTGGGGGAAGGGGTGAGGGGATTAAAGGAGAAGAGAGAGAGAAGTGAAGGGCAAATTGTATGTAGGTGTGACCTTGTCCATTGCACGCTTATAAACGGTCGCATAGTCCGGTCGTCTTTAGAAAACTTAGCAGTGCCCGCGTCGCTTTGCTGGCCAGCGACGCGTAGAGCCATGAGCCAAGTATCTTCTCTTCGGAAAAAGGTCTACTGTCTAGTGTCTCTAGCGTTTCGCGTAGCAAATTGCGTTCGCTCGCAAAACGTTCACATGAACACAGTAGATGTTCTATTGTCTCGTCAGTGTCGCACGATTCACATCGGGAGCCAAGCTGTTAAGATCAGTGCTTATGCTCTATACGTTTCTTAGGTCGGGAACTTTGTTAAGAATCGTTGAAACAATTTTACTTGCTTACCTAGGAGCATTGAAATGGGCTCCGATATAAGCGAATTTCGCACTTTAAAAGCCCTTTCTGGACCAACATATAACTGAAATTTATATGGCGTGTCGCAAGCACTACCTTTTTTTCTTTTCGCATCAGTTGGGAACTTCGTAAAAGGGGTCGTTTTACTCCATATTGTGTTCGCTGGCTTTCCACGTATGCGTCTCTCTTTAGAGAGTCACGTGACCTCTCTTTGGATGTATTTATACTCTCATTGAAGAGTCGTGGCTCCCAAAAGAGCGATGACCTCTTTCTTCAATGAGATGTTGTGGCAAATAATCACTCACCGAAAAAGCAGTACGTACTATTTTTGCACTGGCAATGGTTAGATATTTTCCTGCTTTGCAGTTTTATATTGATCGCTAAATGTTGTTGCTCAACTCCAGGGCCAATACAACCATCCATCCAACTCCGTGAAGACAACTGGAACTTAGTGATGAGTCTGTTCGTTTCCTTTGCTTTGCGTACTCGCAGACCGGCTTCAACGACACGTACCTCCAACTGCCCAAACACAAGACGGCACCTGGCGACGTTCTGAAGCGCATCGGCAAGTCCCAATGCAACACCCGTCACCTGAAGCATTCGGCGCTGAGGCTGCTGCCCGTGTTCGGGTGGCTGCGGACGTACCGCGTCAAGGAATACCTGCTCGCCGATGTGGTCACCGGATTCACCGTCGCCATGTTTCAAGTCCCACAGAGTGAGTGGCAGTCGCAGCAGGTTTGCGGACCATTGCTATTTCGACAAATCACTTATTTGGCTGTATGCGGGGACGTCCCAACAAGTATCATGTTCACACCAAATAATATCAACAGCACTGAAACAAATATTGGCACTCAGTTAGCCTCTGTGGGATATTATAACCGCGTTCAGGTAAAGAACGCTTTAGTTTCGAGGTGATACTTTTACCCGATATTGTATGTGCCGCGAAAGGCCACAATAAATAAACCATTCAGAATATCACCACTCTTTAGAGGCAATGATAGAATTAAAACCAGCTGCGTAATCTTCCTAACTATGGACACTTGGCAATTTTGTTAGGATAGAGACGTTTCGTCAACACAACATTTGGCATAACGATTTGTTCGAAAGAAATCCATATAAATGCTGCCCCACATCTGTTTTTAGAAAACTACAATTAAATCCAAATAGCACATGTGCTTCTATATAGCTCGATGCTTAAGGTGGTGAAGAGCAGTTGAACGCTGAATGTCACCAGTTACTCATCTACACTCTCTGTCTGCTTGTTTCTGTGTTGTACTAAAAATTGTGCGTCACCTTGAAGAAAAGCGCCATGCTAACAATGAACATGTCACCTGTCACGCATAGCAGAATGTAGCAGAGCCTCATATGAAATTTGAACTTGCACGTACATTGAAACCTGTTGGGGCGGCACATGTCGCACGTGCGGTGTGTGGTCAATATTCCGGACTGTTCATTGAACCATTTAGTATATATGACTGCCTTGAGGTCTCGTCTCGATATGTGTGCCTCCAGCTGTTGCAACTGAAAAGAAAAAAAATAAAGTGACGTTTTGAAAATGGCTTACTTATATTGCAGACCGGAACGCAGTTCTCTGCTGTGCGACCTATGCTATATTCGCAAGCAAGAGATCTCTTGTACAAGTGCCGTCAATGACAACCTGTGATCGCCATTTCAATTTTAAGACAGGTACGTTTTAATTAGATGAATGCACAGAAAGTTCCCTCCGTAGTTACAGGTGACCTTTAGCTTTGAAGCTGGAAATTTTTAGTAATTGAAAGACACTAAATGGAATACTCAGCCTTAGACTATATGAAGGAAAAAATAGCTATCTACACACAGTTTGTATGGTTTGACTATATCAGTAATGTTTCGCTTCATTTCGAATTAAAAAGCAGTGTGATTTTTATTACGTTCTTTCGTGTATTTTAAAACAAGCAGGTGTGTACACTCATTACATTCTTTCTATACCGAGATTATTATTCGCGCTTGCAGAAAAGCTCACTTGCTAAGAATCAGGATTCGCGAATGAACGCCGGCTTTGATTGCTCAAGTAATTCGAAACACTTACTTGGGCCAGTTAACGCACCAAGTTCCTTTTTATCTCATTCATAAATTCGCCATTTTTCATTACTGAAGAACTGAGAATTGTTTGTTACCCAATTTCGCAATGCGTGTGCAGAAATGGAGTATGCCTTATAACTAACGTCTTTTCGAACGGCTGTTCACTGCAGGTTTGGGTTACACTCTTCTGGCGTCTGTGCCTCCTGTTTTCGCCCTGTACAACGCAATGTTCCCCATGATGATATACATCATACTGGGCACTGTCAGGCAAGCATCTGTTGGTGAGTAAAGAATGCGCTTTTCACTAGTTCACCACCTTTGACCTGATCACCTCTGGCTGATTCCCAACAAACTTTCTGCTTGAATGGTTTTCATTGGGGCATGTTCAGTGATGTTTAAGCGTTATCAAGCAATTGTACAATCTTGCAGCTAATACGATGTCCCTTCCAGCTTCGTTCTGCACTTGAAGTTATGCAATGAGCATGTAATAAAACATATAAAGTTAATGTTTATGACACGGGAACCTTTACGCGCGCAATCTTCAATGAAACGCTTTTCTAAAGGACGTACAATATGAAACCTTAAGATAACCATGTGCTATGGAAGCAGAAACAGCAGCTGGATAAAGATCGATTCAACTGAGGCAGCCATTACTAGTTTCAAGTATTGAGTTTGTCATCCGGAAACAAGACCACGCCAGAAATGACTCAGCCACACGCTCAGTGTAACTTTAAAGTAAACCATGCAAACATACACAGACAAATGTTTCTGAACTGTGCTGGATGACAACTTTCAACGCTAACATAACAGTGCACAGAACGACATCCTTAGTAGGCCGGGTGCAGTGGTGGCATGCGTGCAACCTCTCCATGCTCCCGTGCAGGTGCGGACGCCATCATGTCCATGATGACGGGAGGCATCGTTCGAGAACTCATCTCTGGTGACACCGGCGGTCATCACCCCATGGTCGGCACACACAATGGCACGCACGCTGGGCAGTACACCGTGACGCAAGTAACTTCTGCGCTATGCTTCACCATAGGCATTATACAGGTGAGTCAAGGCGCTTGTTGAAAGCCAGTGGCGGTGAAGTTTCGCTTTAGCCCGTAATCGGTTTTAAAGTAGCAGCAAACTGCTATTTAAGCTCTACATAAAAAGGATTCTCTGGCAACCTTCGATTTTCCTAGTAGTGTAGTGAAAAAATGCAAATTGATTTTTTCCCCTGGTTATGAATCGTCGCACGATAACAGTAGAGCTAAAGTACAGCCTATAGGCACGTGACTCGGTTGCTTGGTCACTAGCAGAAATCACGCTAGTTCCCTCACGTCACCTCGAAGATTTCGCAGAGCTGCGGGCAGTTGCCTATAGTCCAGTAGGTAATTATAAGAAGACACTAATTACGCTTTGCAGTAAATACGTGACATCTGGGAATGGTAACTATTGGTATTGGTTTGTTTGTTTTTCACCTTCGAAAGCAGTAGCCTTTATGTTTTGCAAGGTTTTCTCACGCGTGCTTTGGAACGCCAAATAATACCTGCTAGGGTCCGTAATCGTATTTTAATATCATTCGAAGCGGCACTTTCTTACGCTGCCTCAAAGCATTGTTGCAGCTTGTATTTGCACTTTCTTACGCTGCCTCAAAGCATTGTTGCAGCTTGTATTTATTCATGAAAAAAAAAAGAAACTTTTGTAGCTGTTCGTCTCTCGTTTTGCAGATGCTTTACTTGAATTCGACAATATGGCGTTTTTATTTGCAGCTAGCATTCGGCTTTCTAAGCCTCGGCACGTTGAACGTCTTCCTCTCGGAACAAATGGTTAACGGCTTCGCAACCGGCGTCGCCGTCCAGGTGGTCATCAGCCAGCTGGGCTCCATCTTCGGGAACCACGTGCCGCACATGAGCGGAATGTTCACCATATACAAGGTGAGCACGTCAGAGATTCGTCTGTGGATCTACCTCGACTCTATACAGTGGGTCCACTGCCAGGATTGATCGGAACCAAAGCAGATGAACGATCCTTTTAGTATAACGATGTTGTCTTAATTGGTACAGTTTGACCAAAGGATCAATTACTACTCCAAACAGAGTGATACATATCAGAAGACACCAAAGCAAACGCACTTCAATCAAATATCTGAGATGGTTGACGTTTAGACTATTTTATTTTCATTTGTGCCATTTATTTCTAGACTACTTTTGGCCATTCTGCACACCAGTGCTATAGCTGTCGCTCTCAAGAATGAATGGAAAATAATGAACTACCGTGTATATATGGAGATTGGTCTAGTTACTTCAGACTGCTTGACTTATGCACTCGTGATCTCACTACAAAAACTCAACAAGTGGGCCTCATTATGCCATTGCTCCATCTGTGAGAAGGGCGTGACAATAACCCCAGCCCTGAAAAAGAGCATATGAAGTTGCAAAGACAGACTGGCAAAATACTCATTGTTTTGCTTGAAGCTTGCTTCGCGGAAAAAAAAGAAAATGTGGCTTGCACGAAGCAGCCATTCAATGTTAAAAGCATATATGCTATTATTCTGAATACTGTTCTTCTTCCACATTGAGATGCCATTTTCGTGACCCGTATGTACTACGCACATGGACGTTCGTAATCGTTCTTTCTTTCTCTCGTTTCCAGACGTTGTACGCCTTTTTCGAGCACATCCACGAGGTGGCGTGGCAGACGACTGTCGTGGCCTTCGTCGCCATCATTGTCATCATGGTGGTCAAGCTATTCCTCGATCCCCCCGTCATCCGCAGGCTCGGAATCCCGCTACCCATCGAACTCACCGTTGTAAGTTCCGCTACTCTTTAGATCGAAATGGCTAACGCTTTAGGCTGCTTCGGCACAACTTTTGATTCGATGAAGCCGAATTGCGAACGCATAACAGGTATATTCTGTTAAGTGTTCGCAATTGTGCCCGCAGCAGTTGCTTTCACAATTCGCAGTTGTGTGTATGTATGCATAAACAGAAGCTTAGGAGATGGTGGAAATCCAGCAATCACATCATATGCATTTGTGTTCGCGTAAGATAGGCGTGTCGCGTGAGAATACTTACTTTTATTGCGCCTTGGTGCATGTATTCTAAAAAAAATCATTATGTCATGCGTTGGTATTCGTTATTTTTTCTTGTTTTTTGTGTTGTTGTTTGCACGTAGTACGTTTTCGAAGATTCCTTTTCAAAGCCATCTGACTTGTCGGCGTGTTGCTGTGTGTCGTGCACTGTTAGCGGACCTCAATCAACCAATCAACCTAATTAGTTAGGATCTGTGAAACATCTTCACAAATTCAGAATATCATTTGCCATTGCTACGAACACTTTCGTGACCACGCCTATACCCATTCATAGTATGTTTTCGATGTTAACATATTGAATATTTGCCCTGTTCCGAACGCTTTTGACCCCTTGTGCTATCTAACGTGTAAAAGAAAAAAAGTATTTGAACACCTTCACTGTTGTGTTTCTCTTTTTTCACCTTGTCGTGATTTGAAAGCACCTTTCCATACACGCAAGTGACCGTGCATGGTTTCAATCATGGCGTCGACGTCGCGTGTGACCGCTTCATGAAAACGGCGAATTTCAGGAGATTCTAGTACATCTGGGCTGGAATATTCAAATGACGACAACAGCACAGGCTCGGAAGACGACATCGGCACTTATAATTTCAGCTCGGGATGACGAGAGTCCGGCAAACCGCCCCGCAACATCGGCGGTCGTCCACTGGTCGGGCCGCGTTTTTGCCGGCGCGCGTCGGTGTAAGTTGATCCGATGTGTTCTGAAGGTTAGGGCTCTTATCTGCAGGACGTCCGCTTCCTTCGGTCGGGATCACTTGCCGGCGGCAGTGCAGAGAGTGCAGTTTCGTGCGCGGAGGCTGCCGGAAGTGAACCTTGGAGCCGCGTTACGTATAGAGCCGCGCGGCGTTTAGTGAGCGCTGTCGACTTTTTGTTTTTTACTGTTCAAGTTATTGAAGAGCTATGCAAAAGGACTAATAAATATGCTTGGAGGCATATTTTTCAGAAGCCGACGTGCAGCGAGAGAGACGGTTCTTGGAAGTCTCCCACAGTCCATCCCGCTCCTACACAAAACGCTCCTCAGGGCTAACGCCACCAGCAAAAAAAAAAAAAAAAAAAACAGGAACTGCAAATTATGCTATGAACAAAAAAAAGTTGAACAGAAAGCAAGTGTTTTCTGTGGAACGCGCGTAGGAAACCTGTCTTTTACCGCATTACAAAACTGCTTCGCACGGTGGCATGAAAAACACGCGTGTAATGTTACTTTATGTACACAAAAACTTTAGTATTTACAACGCTTATATTTACAGGATAATTGTGTGTGCCCCTCGCGCCTAAAATTTTTATTTCCATTTCTTTTTATGCCTACTCTGTTCAGAGCAGTGTTGATGGTGCTATAAATTTCTTTGTTCATGTTTAGAATGTTTTTCGTTTGATGATTTGTTGGTACTATTGTTAATAAATCAGTGGTTTCAAACTGACTGTGTTTGAAATATAACTCTGATCTGTACAATTTGACCCTGTAAACATTAACATCAGTAACTTTGAGCGCCATAAATGATAAGGTTTTCCGGACTACCCAAGAACGGTCAAATTTCTTGTGGTCACGAAAGTGTTATATAGGCAAGGTCATTAGGCGTTGGAAGGTAGCTAAGACTCTATTATATGCTTCCAATAAAGTATAAATGACATCATTAAGTAAGCACAAGTCGCTGACACATTCACTATGATTTTCTGTGCTAGACGCATTTCATTTCATTATATTACCTTTAAAGGCCAACAGGGGCATTAATAAGGAGTGGGTTTACATATCTGTTCATTATACATTGTTAGAAATAACGTCTGTCAAGACCGACTTCATGAAAGCTTGTGCGTGCACTTTGGACGCCCTAGTTTGCTTATCTTCATTACGACACCGCTTCCCTGATTTCATGGTCCAAAACACATCACTTACTTACGGCAAGGTGTAGCGGAGGGCTCCGGAAAAACTCCCACAAATTCTGATTTTGTAGCCTGCACCCGAATCATCGCGAAGTGCATGAGCCTCAAGCAGTTCTACTTTGATCACAAATGCGACGCACCTTTATCCTATACGTGTATTTATCTGCGCCATGAAAAGCTCAGCAGGAAAGAGTGTTTTCATGGCGAGGTGAACATCTGCTGCGGGTCAAACATGTTATTTTCCGCACACGTGCTCTCTAGCTGCCGCATTGGTGCGTTTTTCCTGCATTTGTTTCTGTTTGTTTGGAATCTGCGTAGATCAGAAGGGCCAGGCACAATTCGTTTCTAGGTGAAACTTACCGTAAAAAAAGTGCACGACGTATATCCGCACAAAGCGTCGATTATCACTGCAAGAATTGCGCCCGTGCCGTCTGTCTGGACGGAATTCGCAATGTCACGTTCCGTTACCGTCAGATGGCGCCGCTAACTGTCAGTTTTCCAGCGCACTGGAATTATTTATCGACATACCTGAGTGCCGTCGAAATACGTGGATGTGTACAGTTCCGGCGTTTGTGTTATAACAAATTGTTGTATGTATAACACCGCTGTAAAGAATGACCGTCATATTTTCTGGTCGCTTTTCCAGCACTCCAGAAATAAACGAAATAAATTGACTTTTATGGCGTGATATCATAAGCACAGCGGGTGAGTTGCGAGCGTTCTAGAGCTTATAGTCGTCTGAAGGACTTTCTCTCTCACTTTTCATATCGCAGGTGGTACTATTCACTGTCGGGTCCCACTTCCTGAATCTCCGAGAAAACTACGGCGTTGAAGTCGTTGGGACCATACCAGAAAAGTAAGCTGTCCTACAAGTCATTTCCATCACGGAAGCATTATATATGAGCGCTTCTACCGTGCAATATAACTTTTGTCTCCATGCAAAGTGGAGAGTATATCTCAGTCATTTCTCGATGTGGAAGTACATAGAACGTAGGAGTGCAATCTGTCATCGCTGTAAATATGTTCATTATTATTATGCATTCCCTGAAATATCAAACAAATCACCACTGTTTATGTAACTTCATGAATTTAACAGCATTCGAATTTATTAGACTAAATCCACACTGTACTCTAGACAATGTTCAGTAATTAGGAGCTGATCTTTAGCATAATTAAAATTTTTACAAATTTTTCTAACAGATACCGTGCCTAATTCACTTAATGAAACAAAACCAGATTTGTGAACTCTGAGGTTGCACGGTAAAGCTAGATGAAAAAAAAGCCCACAAACATTACAGGAAGCCTTATATCTGGTTTAGCGAACACCGCATTGCTCTTCGTTTTACAGCTGGATCTTATCGACCCTAGTCAAGTGTTGCGATTGTAATATGTCCGTTTTATTTGTGCCCTGCCGTGGTGGTCAGGTGGCTAAGATGCTCGGCTGCTGACCCGCAGGTCACAAGATCGAATCCCGGCTGTGGCGGCTGCATTTTCGATGGAGGCGAAAATGCTGTAGGCCCGTATGCTCAGATTTGGGTGCACGTAAAAGAACCCCAGGTGGTTGCAAAATTTCCGGAGCCTTTCACTACGGCGTCCTTTCATAATAATATGATGGTTTTGGGGACGTTGAACACCACTTATCAATGAATCAATCAATAATTTTATTTGTGAACAGAAAGCACTGTTTTCGTTTCAACATCACTCGAAACTAGGGCACTTGACACGTAGCAACAGAAAACTAAGGAACCTGTGGTTTTTTACATGTTGATACCGCACGCCACTATTGGGGTGGGAAGGAGCAGGATGCTACTTCGCGATTGAGACAGCACTCACGCTCCTCCTCCCATCTTCCTTCTGACAAAAGCTGCACGAGTGTTGACATAGTAACCGCTCAAGCGTAGCGTTTTACTCTGTATATATGTTTGTGGTTGTTGGAAATCAGCGAGTGGCGCCTTGCAGGTTGCCCGAGCCCACTCTTCCCAGCTTCAACACGCACCTCATAGCGAGCATCCTACCCGAGTCGTTCGCCTTGGCCATCGTCAGTTTCGCCATCACTCTGTCGCTGGGAAGGATCTTCGGCCAGAAGCACGGCTATTCCGTAGACGCTAATCAGGTTAGTATGGACATTCTTTGACAACACATCGAAACCTTGGGTGTGCTGTGGTAGTTTATATTCGGAAGGTGGCAACGCAACTAAAAAACAAAACAATAGACTAGGAAAAACTAGAATCATGGTGGCGAGAGAGATAGCCTCACACGTGACGAAGCTACGTGAGACCGGTTGAAAGCGCGAGTGTTGTACTACCATGCGATTATATGTCGTCTTGTATCTTTAGCGTCGAACATTAACACCATGGTTATGTGGAGCGTTCCGCCAACCCCTATTTGAAATAAAAGAAATACATTGCGCTAATATCTGCGCTCGATGTATTCACTAGATTAGGCATCACTGAATCTAGGTGTTCGCTGCAGTTCTCATCGCTGGCAAAGGATTGCACGTGCTTTGTCCTAGTTCCTTCTTTACAAATCTGCACACGTATTTTTTTCACTTTCATTCTTTTTATATTAAACGTAGTGAATATCCAAGCAGATTCTTCATGTTGATATACCTGTTGCTGTGCCCTTCCTTCGTTGGCAATGCAGTTTTTTTTTCGTCGAATTCTTTCTCTCTTTTTTTTGTTTACTCAAACTTACGATACTCCCATTTACCCACTTTCAGTTGCATACACAAGATCTCTTGTTGTATTTCTTTTATACCCCCTTATTGAGCGTTTTCATTTTTCAAAATTTTGAATGCGTGATTGCTTCTGGTTTACTTTTCTGTCCTAACCTTTTTAACGAATCAATCAGAAGTTTGTGGCTGCAGTCACAAATCTGAGGAGCTGAGCGGCGAGTGAATGGCGCAAAGCGGTCATTTCGAGGAAAGCAACTTTCACGCGGTCTTGCACAAAACTCAGGCGCCTGCACCACGGCGACCACTCGATAAAGAATTGTGTCATAATGCAACGCCAACCTGCGGCCATCTCTGACGCACGTGCTACACGTACACAGACTGAGATAAGAGGTTGCGCTGAGCTGTGCAAAGTATAAATATAACATAATAACTTGGGTAAGCTGAAGAAGCGAGACAGAATGTGCTTCAATTCTATAGATTACTCGCACGAACTCTTTAGCATTCTCGTCAGCACATTCGCCGATATATTTTGTGTATTTCTTTACAGACTTGCATAGAGTCGACCATTTAATTACCAGCGACGTCTGGAACATCTTAACACATAGCATTGTATAGATTGCTTTCCCACCCCTGTAACAGTCCGCGAGGGCTAACAGTGTTATGAATAAAACAAAATAAAATATTGTTTATTTTCTGCTCTTCCAAACAGGAGTTCCTCGCCCTCGGAGCAAGTCATGTGTTCTCGTCGTTCTTCTCCTGCTTCCCAATCGCCGCTTCGGTGCCTCGCAGTGCTGTTCAAGAGGGCGCTGGTGGCAAGACTCAGGTGGGCTTAACCTGTCTCGGCATATCTTACCTAGTGTAGCACTAGTGTCAAACGGTCAGTTAACCACGATCAAGCCTTATCCGCATTGAATTCTCGGTCGTGATTGGCTTCTTCATGCGAGATGGAGAAGGAAGCCAGTTGCTGTAAAGCGATCTGATCAGAATCGGGCCTAATTGCGATCGGCAGTGCACCATGTGTCTCTGATATAAAATGGTCACGGTGGTCTACAAAAAAAAACTATGCGTCATATTATCCCATAAAAGGCATTTAAAACGTGTCTTGCGTGTTCTCATGCACATCCTCTCATGTTTATCTATTTAGGTCCTCTGTTCCTTTGACAAAGCTAGTGTCAGCCTATTTTCGAAACAAAGCGTCGAACCAGTGCCATAATTACGTTTTAGGTTTGTGAAGACTTGGAAAAACAGTAAAGTCTATGTAAATTACAAAATAAAGCAAACTTTAAGTAATCGTGATGCATTCGGTACATCTCGTTTAAACAGATTGTGAGCGTGGTGAACATCGTCATCATTGTCCTCATGGTTCTCTTCCTCGGTCACTACTTGGAGGAGCTGCCTATTGTGAGTACTTTGGAATGAACCTAAATATTTAGCCTTTTTTATTTCCTGATTTTTGTTATCCATGCCCAAAGATATGCTTATTACGTGAATGGAAGGGTTACCTTTGCGGGATCATGTTTGTTTTGTTTTCTTGTTTTTGCTGACACGTATGTAGTGATCAACCAGGAAGGCTAAAAATATCACCAAATCATACTGCTTTTCCTGAAGCAGACATATTCGCCTAGTTACGCGTAACGTATCTGAAATAGAATTAGGAGATTACAACAATAATTCAGTTGACAAGTTCTGGTTAACGAGTGCAGTATCGGACAGCGCAGAAAATATATGTTGACCATGCTTATAGTTAAGAGACCGCTTGTGTTTTGGTCAGGAACACAACGCGAAAAACGTTTATAACTCTCTATACGCCTTAACTTACACTTTATCTTGGCTGAACAGCACAAACAAGCTCCGTCCTCGTCCAGTGTGCGCTGTTCTGCCATGATGAACCCATGCCAACTCGCTCAAGCTTCTATTTTTATACCTCACACTTTCATTCGGTTTGATGAACCTTTTTTATGAATATGAACCTGATGAGCTATAGGGAGAATTTCTAAACGCTGTTGTTCTCGAAGAAACTCCAAAGGTATCAGAAATTGGCAGTTCAATTTGTTACCTCAGGGATAAAATGCCGAATTGGCAAATCTCGACTAATTGGTGACATCTTCAATTTTTCAATTTATATTTCGTCAGAACATAAGTAACCAGTGTTATTGACCCATGAGTGGTGTTTGCTAAAAATTGCTTTCTATAGTAGCTTGGCAGGTTAGCCTATTCTTACAGGACGTTCATAGCGCATACCGGACTTCATTCAGTCGCCTTCGCTTCCAATAAAACGTTTTTGCTGCTTTTGCCAACAACGCGCATGTATTCTGTTTCATTTCAGTGCGTCTTGGCGGCCATCATCGTGACGTCGCTGAAGAAAATTGTCATGCAGGTTCAGGACTTCAAGCGCTACTGGGACATTTCGAAGATCGACGGAGTAAGTACGCACCCGGTCATTTTGTTGCATACTCAGATGGCCCCGAGTGATACTAAGCTAGACAATAATCCCCTGCTTTTAGATGCGGAGCATCTTATACTCGCGCCTTGTAGTGCGCCGTCCGCACCGCCTCTCGAACATTCGACAGCTGACGCGCGCGCATGCGCCGTCGCGCCGTCGCCCACTCTTCCACCATCCGTGCATCCCTTCCTCCTCTACACACCGCGCGCGCTTCACTCCTCCACCATCTGTGCACCCTTCCTCCTCTACACACCGAGTTCGACATCTACAATTCTCCTGATTCTCCAGTGGACGCGCATGTGGCGTCGCGCTTCGAGAACATTCAACAGCTGACAGTGCATGCGCCGTCGTGCTGTATATATACTCAAGGTCGGCGCTCGCTCGCTCAGTTGCCGCTCGTCGGTTGGTTTGTACGGCGCGTCGACGTCCAAGGTCGCGGTGAAATGAATTCCAACGAATCCACAAACACAATGATCGACGTCCCTTCGACCAGCGCCGCCCTTTCGCATACGTGTGTACGTGTTCACTCATTTAACACCCCCTCCTACAACCACGTTAACCAATTTAGCCATTGACCCAAGTAAGTCGCAATTTAACACCCCATTTCACAACCACGTTAACCAATTTAGCCATCGACCCAAGTAAGTCACACTTTAACACCCCGTTAACCAATTATATGGTCCGCATCCTCCTCAGTGTTCCCCCGAGGGAAGCTGCGGGCAATTTTTTTGCTACAATTCTCGTGATTCAGTACTGTGCAAATCAAGTTGTAATCCGAGCATGCAAAATCATCCACAAAAATATCGATTTGTTTGTGATACTTTTCTGGGTTACACTTACAAAACAATCTATTACTTTCTGCATTGGTATGGAAAACACCTTTACTTTTATCAGTCTAAAAGAAATGCACCATGCATACGAAACTTCGAAGCAGTCAATGCAGCAGCGATAGTAAGAGTCTACTTGAACGTAGGTACCCGACAACTTTCTTCGTGATCATGCTGGTTACCAATGATATTGTTTGTTCAGGAACTTGGGTTGCATACGTAAAATACGTAAAAACACGTTACAAGCACGTAAAATAGGTAAATAAACTTTAAAAATCCTTCCTATACATATAAGGCTTATTTACATACGCATTCCTCTTCAATTTTACAGCAAGTGTGGATGGTCTCTTTTGGCGCCACCGTCATCTTCGACGTCATTACTGGACTGGCCATTGGCGTCGGCTTTTCGCTTCTCACTCTCATCTACAAGATTCAGAGGTGAGTGTTTGAAGCGCACCTAAGGACCCTTTGCTCGAATTGTTTCTCGAGATGTCCCACATTCACTAGGCGCATTGAAAGTAAACAATTAAAAATATCCCGAGCGTATTGAAATCCTTCCCTGCAGCATTTTCAGTATTGCGCAGAATATCTTTCAATAATAAACATCTATAATTAGCGCTCATTCAATCCCAGGAATCGGGGACATCTGCTCGTGACTAGTAGGCTTGGCCTACCTCTCAGCAGCAGGTACGACGGTCTGCCCTAACTTAATGGGAAATAGGCTAGAAAAATTGTTTCTCCTCAAAAAAGTCAGTTATCAAAAATGCCAGGCCTGCAGCACACAGTCACAGCGAAAGCTAGATGAGTGAAATTCATGTGTGGCTTCACAGGTCACTTGAATACCGCCCATAAAAACACTTGGGATCCCATTGTTAAATATTAAACGCAGTGGGAAGCTAGGTGGTTTTAGGTGCGGCACTGTAACTTTGGCGGACTGTTCAGGTACGTCTCTGCTATATAAAGCTGGAAGTCGTTTTTTGTTAACTAGCTTTTTTTATCAGATATCATTTTTTTTTCATATCCTTCGTTCAGTTACGGCTACGGAGACGAGAGATGGCGCTATGTGCACATGTCTCCAAATCCTGGTCATGCTGCACAGCAAATCAAAACGCCATGTACACGTTTTTTTTTTATCTGAAAGAATACAGAAAGCACTTAAGTGCGACACTACATTATATCAACTGTGTCTCAGACGGTTCCTTCTATGTTTCTGAGACAATGAAGCAAATCTCGCGCAAATAATACCATTGACTAATGCTTCTCTAAATGTTGTATGTAGCGCTTTTTACCGTCTGCTTTTTCACGCGCACACAATTTTTATTCCGCTCTGGAGACACGTGTCACATGCTTGCAGCAAATATTTTTACGCTGCAACGTATCGATATAAAACCTGAGGTGTGCTCGCAGCTGCAAATGTGCCACAGGCAGTTCGATCGAGCATATTTTAACGTTTTTCGGTGAAAATTGTGAAAACGGTACATTTGTGCTTTCTACCTCATCGAACCTTCTACTGGTGTACGGGAAAACAATTCTTTCAGTATGTCTGTACCGCTAGTAAAAGTTTCAAACGCCGCTCACTTGCTTATCTCATAGACTATATCCTTCAGCTGCGAGACCACGCGGGTGTAAAACGTGCGCAGCACCTCATGTTCACGGAAAACAGGCCATGAGCAGTCTGATTTTTTTCAAACATTTTTTTATACTTTGCGCATGTTTCATACGGCGCTCAATCATACGTCATACGAGTAACTTAAATAAAAAAATTCTAGAATAACACATGAAATCCGTAGAATCCACCAGGACGAACACGAAGTGTTTTTTACTCGCTGCGCTAAAAAAAAAGGTATGATCTGTTAATTATCGCAGCCTTTCCGGCTTGCTTTAGCATTTAACAATTATTTGAACGAATGTTGCGTGCCACTATTTTCCGAAATGGTGTACTTTTTGAATCCCTAGGTCGCGAAATACGTTTCACTTGACGTCCAAGCATTTAAGCTTTGAGGGAATCGAGGTCGCTGTGTTGAAGAAAAAATAGACTCGTGCAAAGTAGCGAATACAGTACAAATGTCAGAAGGTAAATCTCAAAATGCGTAACAGTTTATCGTACTCCATATCGTAACCGCGAGAGATTAAACATTCCTCTTCATCCTTTCGCGCCCCATCGCGGTAGTCTAATGGTTATGGCACTCAACTGCTAACCCAAAGGTCGCAGGTTCAAACCCCGGCTACAGTGGCTGCATTTTCGGTGAAGTCAAAAACACCGAGACCCGTGTACGGGGGTTTCAATGCACGTTACAGAAGCCCAGGTAGCCGAAATTTCCTGTACCCCCCACAACGGAGTCTCTCATAATCATATGGTGGTTTTGTGACGTTAAACCTAAGATATTATTATTGTTCAATGCAAAAAAAAAAAAAACAGCGTGGGTATACGAGAAAAGAAAGTTACCGGACAGCGTGCTTGTGGCTCTCTGTTTTGTTGTCTTTCTTTTCTCGCACACCCGCGCTGTTTTTTTATGATGAGTCTAGGCCAACAGGCTCATGTTTTTACCCTCTTATTATTTATTCTTTATGCTGCCTCCCTTACATTGTTTGAGTGCTATCATTCACACAAAAAAAGGTAATCTTCATGCACCACAACACAACTAAAGTGATTAATCAGCCCACAAACATCAACTAAGATAAGTATAGTGTGCATGTTAAAGTAACCGAAAAGCCTCTGATAATACAGACATTATACAGTGGCACTCTGTCGCCCTTAATATTGTAACTTGGCCCACATGGCCTCAGAAGAAATTTTTCACTGAGTTGTAACAATTACTTCGATTTTTTTTAATAGGCCAAAGACGTTCCTCCTTGGCTCGGTGGCTGATACTGAGTTCTTCGTGCCCATCAAGAAATACCAGATGGTAAGACCTTATTGACAGTGTCGTGGCTTTAGGTGAGGAGAACAGGGTTACACATAGACAAATGAAGCAGATAATATAAAGCTCAGATGTAACCTTATGAGCACACTGAGCAATTGGCTATTCATGAAAAAAAAACTGCGCGATTTAAGTGTTATAGACAATCGCGACAGAAAATGTACAATGGCTGATAGATTACTTGCCTGATCTTGCTACTTCAGATCGAAGAAGAAAATTACCCGACTTACAAATCAGCCACGTTTTTCACACAGCATGAAATTTCAGTTTGAGAGAAAGTTTAGTACAAGCGCTGATCACATATATGGCGGTATGTGCAGGTTGACGAGGTTCCCAAGATCAAAATCTTCCATTTCGGGGGACCTGTTCACTTCGCCAACACGGAATACTTCAAGGAGCAGCTGAACAAGAAGATTGGCTTCACTGTCAGGTGAGATAAATATAGCTGGTTCATTCTGGGTTCCAGTGAATTTGCACCATCGCCAGTAGTTCGAAAATTGTATTTCTTCCGGGAAGACGTCATCGCTAAATCTGTTTAGCAAATTTTCGCCTAAGCTTGGCATACCTAACACATTAATTGCCTCAGGCGGACATTTGTAACGTCCTCAATCTTCGTGAAATGCGATGAGGTTTAGAGAAAAGAAATCTCACAAATCATTTACAGGTAGCAGGAGGGGGCTGGAAAGGGCGCTTGATGTACTATCTAGAAAAATTATTGATGATTTTAAAAATGTTTTACATTTCAATGACTTTGCGAAATTTGTACACAGCAAGGAAGAAGTCCAGACAGGAAGTTAACTGGCACTGAGAAATTACTTGCAGCTTTTACACTAATTTCCGCAGCAAAACAACTTTGGTGGTGTTATTTGTGTACATACGGTCCGGTAACGCTATATTTCTACCAAATTTACCCCTCACAAGAATGCATTGCTTTCTGTAAATGTTAAGTCACGGAATATGACATAGAGTTCTATCAGATTATCGTGAAAATTCGAATTGAAATAACTCAACACTTATTCTGATGACTGAGCATACGTAGGATACCGTATTTTGGGAATAAAATTATACAAAAATTATATCGACAGTCAAGTTTATCTCATACAGTACGTGTTGTTTTCATTTACTGGTACGCTGATAAATTGCTGAGAAATTACACTTATCAGTAACTGCTGACCAACAATAAATGAAATGACTGGTATTAACCAACATGAACGCATGCTCCGTGTGATTGACTGGTGTGGTTTAATATCGTGAGGTTGATTATATTTTGATTAAATATGAACACGTTTCTCATAACTGCAGCAAACGCAATGTGTGACACGGCATTTTATTCTCTCCACAGAGACGTGCTGAAAGCCCGGAAACGAGCCCAGAAGGGATCCACTTGCAATATCGCCAACCTAGTCAAGGTGCGTCGCGGAGCAACATTGACGTTGAATATTGTCTCAAACAAGCGAGTGGCTCATTCTCATGCCACGGAACTGGAAGATGCACATTTGTTTTTCTATTCAAACTGAACGGGGCAGACTATAAGGTGTGGATGCTTAAGTAGGCTTAAGTTTTTAAAACAGGCCCTGCTACCCACAAAGTTTCTCGGTGATATCAACAAACTGTGCTAACAACGCCTGGACGACTTCGTTTAGCCTGGTGTCAAAATCTTTTGTAAACATATATTTGTACCTAGGAATATGATACTGGCAAAGTGCTACGTTATGACAACTTGCGAGTACTCTGGTACTTGCTTCTGAATTTTGTGAGGATATAAAAGATGAAGTTGTATTCCGTCCACAGTTTTGTGCCGGAACGATGTTCAGTCGTGCTAAATATGGTTTGCAACGCGCCGTTTGAGCTGGAAATGGCTCCAAGGCTGCAAGTCGGCACCCACATAGACGAAATTGGTGACTTCGACATCCTAAATTGGTGCCACGTTCTGCACCAAATGAACGTTTGTCAGATTCATTGTTGAGGCCACTTGAATCAAAGCTAGACTGTTTCAAAACATTATTGAGTGAGACTGTACTGAAAACAGAGCACCCGCACATATCGGCCAGTCTGCAACAAAAAAAAAAAAAACTGGTGTCTTGTGTTCAGCACGGTGCCATTCGCCTTTTTCGTCATTTCTTTCTGGGTGCTCGCTATCTTTGTGTTACTTAAAGTGATCATGACGGGAAGGAATTTTTCTTCCGTGGCAGTAACTCAGTAAAAGAGCATCTTAATATTTTCTTTGGTTAGACGCACGAATTAATGTTGCGCTCCTTTTCTCTGCACAGGACTCGCCGATGCTGGGCGCTGAGTCCAAGAACGCCTCGTTGAACTGCAGTGTGGCCGCGGACCTATGCTCGCTCAAGTCGAGCAACAGTTGCGTCGCCGAAATGCTCGCCCTACCCAGCCACATCATCCTCGACTTCTCGCGCGTGTCCTTCATGGACGGATCGAGCATCGCCCTTCTCAAATCGGTCAGTCTAATGCCTTGGTGTAAGTTCACAAAAATCGCAAGGGGGGACACAGTGCTTGCCATGGCGGCGATTTTTTTTCTGTAAAACGTTTGTTTGATTTTGACTCGTGTAAAAATTAAAATCCCGCCATGAAAGCACATTCAGAAATGAACACGAATTTCCAAACCACGTAATTGTATTCGTCTACTGGGTATTCTCTGAAACTGATCGAGCAACAGTTGCAATTTTAGTATTGCCACATTAGTAAGATTACTGAAACAAACTGGTTACTGGTTCAAACAATTGACAACAAGGGTTGTTGAACACTGAGTAGACGCTGAAAGAAAAAAAACAGGCAATCAAATTGTCTAACGCGCAATACTTAACTGTCAAGTCATTCAAATATATTGTATATTGAAAGATCAATTTTGAGAGAGTCACATGAGAGGAGTGTCTTGCCCCCCCCCCCCTCCTGTCCTGTGAACAGGGGAGTTCAGAACCCCCTAAGCCCTCCATAGTTCAAGCCAATGGTATAAAAAAAAACTGGTGGCCTTTGAGATGGGAACCATCGCCTTTTTGTTTTTCGTATGCGGGAAACTGGAGGCAACTGGATCTAGTTTCTGAAAAATAATCGTAAAGAACAACTCGACAAGATCAAATCCATGACCACTATTCTCATTTGGGATTAAAAGACATTGATTAACTATAAAAAATGAAAGCAATGCAGAAATTTGTAGAAAAATAATTGCAGAAGATTATTACCAATGCTGAAATGCCTTTATGTAAAAACTCAATTCATTATAGAGAGTTTTCAGTGCGCACACAACCAACCAAGACTTAAAGGTGCCCTGAAATGGTTTCGACGATTTTTTTACAAACACAATGGGCCGGTATACCAAGTCCCAAGGGTAATTTAGAGACTGATTTGAGCTCTTTGCGTAAACTGTGTAATTTATTACAACGCTTTAAAGCTGCGAATAGCTCCAGATCGCTGCAGATCACTGCGACTCGGCCAAACGCGTTTTCAAGTGCCAATACACCAAGTTATACGCTCTGACCCATTGACGTCCTCGTTTCCAGCTGATTTGATTGCCTTTGGAACGCGCAGCACAGACTGCCGGTATCGAATTGGTGGTGGTATTTAAGCGTGTTCGGTCTCACGCCACATCGTGACGTAGGCACCGTGAAGGCAGAGCTTAGCCGCGAGCGCTCGAAGGAAGAGTTGAGGACAGTTGAGGCTTAAAGGTGGAGTGGAGGTAGAAGGTACCTTTTTTAGTACTCTTAGCTCCGTTAATATTAGGCGCTTCAGTTGAACTCTGGTGCTATTGATTTGCTCAAGTAGTGGTCTATAATCAGCAACAGAATCTGAAAAAACCGTTTCAGTGACCCCTTAAGCGAAGAACAAGGGAATTTTACCGCCTTGTCGGACGTATGTGGTGTATGTGCTGTAAACTTCCCGTAATTAACGCATGACGAGTATATGCTGCGTTTAATTCTCATTTCACATGCAACATGATTGGTGCATTTTATAAAAATAGCGGCATTTTATGAATTTCCCAAAAAATAATCGCAGATGACAAATAGGTATTCATGGCCGCAAGAAACTTACGCTGTCTTTCATTCTCATTCCAGCTAAAACGAGATTACGACTCCGTTGATGTCAAGCTCTTCATTGCTGCGTGTTCCGGTAAGCAAGTTTTGAGTTTGTATTGAACAATGTTCTCGTAAAGCACACTACAGGCAAGCAAACGCACTTCTAAAAAGATTTCAACAAAAAAAAACGGTCGATCACGCTTACAGATAACTTCATCATGACATTGCATCGACATCGGTTGACACAAGTGAATTGTATATGGCCTTTTTATCAAAACAAAATCCGAAAATTATACGTTTTCATTTCACTAATCAGTGTGGCTAGTCATTTGCGGTCAATACAGTACTTAGGCGGAACATTTAGGTGTAGACGTGCATAAATAGGTCACCGTCCTCTAGATATTAAGAGCATATGCAAGGCTACTCATTAGTTATAGTAATCTTCAGATAAGTGAACATTCGTTTTAACGTAGGTAGCAAATGCAGTTGAGTAACGTCATGCCGAAAAATGTGACCTGACGCTGTAAGAGTTCCCAGACGAAGCTGTTAGCTCGCATTCTACTGCAATGTCAGAAAAAAAAAAACAAGCAGCACTCGAATACTCGGGGATCATGGTGTGACAAGATTCATTCTCATATAGTCTCGAGTATTACGTTCGCCCTTCACGGCTATGAAGGCTTTTCATTCTATCGCTGCTGCTACGACGCCTTGTGTGATGAAATGAGTATTGATGTAGAGTGTTTGAGGCTGTTCGTTCGCGTGGTATGAGTCAATGCACAGGCTCCAATCAATGTTTGTACCTTACTGTAAACCGTACATTCAGCACGATTGTAGCATTACATTGTTAGATGCCACTAATTTCTGGTAATTTTTTTTCATAATTGTGTTTATGTATTTATGGTAGATGTAACAACAAGGCACATACCTCCAAGATAACAGATGTTTGAATTGACGAATGGTCGTCGAAGAACCAATGCCACTAAAGTTAGTTTCACAAATGGGCGCTTGATGCAGATGGTGCCGAGAAACTGAGGCTACTATTGGTTTCAACAACTATCAGCTCTGTTCATGAGTGCTGCATTTAATTCCAAATTGTGATTTTTAACAATGAATGCTCAGTTTAATCATCCACTTTCCAGACAATGGGCGCTTCCGGCAAGCACGTATTTGTATTAATAACAATAATTCTTTGGTTTTACCAGCCCCAAACCATGATATCATTAAGAGAGACGTCATAGTGGGAGGCTCTGAAAATTTCCACCACCTGGGGTTTTTTTGACGTACACCTAAATCTAGGCACAAGGACCTCAAGCATCTTCACTTCTATTGAAAATGCGGCCGTGGCAGCTGGAATTCGAGTGCGCGACCTTCAGCTTAGCAGTCCAGTGCCATAGCCATTGAATATAACCACGGTTGGTGGCAAGCAACTTATCTATGTATCTGACATGTCATTCAGGTCATTTATTTCTTTCGCACCACGATTCTGGATACCCTGTCTCCTGACACGAAAGTGTTTTTATTTCTGTTGTTTTTTTTTTCTTTCTCCTCCACAGACTCTGTCTTCGACTTCCTACGCAAGGCGGACGCAGTGGAATTCCTCGGTTCAGACGCTTTCTTCCCGTCCGTTTTCGACGCTGTGCAGGCAGCCCAGCATCCCAACAAGGTACGAACTACAATGAACCCACATATATCGCTCGCTGTATGCGCAGCCGCAAGGGTCTTAACTGTGGGAAGGTAAAATAAAAGAATTGTCATTTCATAAAGCATTTTAGGGACTAAATGAAAAAAGTAGATTTCCGGACCACAGCTTTGTATTTTAGAGCGCAACGGGCGTCATTGCTGTGAGAAATTGGTTTACCTTGGCCACACAGTCAAACAAAATAAACTTAGGTTAGCTAAGTAATAATGAGGCCCTACTAAGACAGCTCTCGCTTCCTTTGATTCACTGAATGCTCGATATTCGCTACACCTGCAACATTGAACTGGGTGACGCGACCACATTAGGGTAATATTTACAGCTCTAACATTTTATCATTCAGGGCAGTTGGAAAATGGGGTTGAAGAAATCTTAAGCACTTTGCAAATGAGCTCAGTGATAATGTATCACAAACAATGGTGCTATTATAAATTGAAAAACAGATGCAACTTCATGACCAATTTGTGTACGCGATAAACAGTTCTTCCGCTTAATGTTAAGTGCGGCTGGTCAATTATAGATACACCATAAAGCATGTTCGACCTCGGCAATGAGTGCACTACAAGATATGTGCGGTTTTGAAACATTACAGGAAAATTAAGCCGCAATTGGTGCTTTCGCCTCTTTTCAGGCATAACAAATTTGCCGATACTTGTTCTCCGAAATTCTGCATGCTACCAAATTTGTACACGGCGTTATTTTTTACAAAGAGAGCGTGATAACACTATCAGAAACCCTAAATAATCTACCCCTAGAGAAAGAAAAGTACTTATTTCTTCAATGTACGACGTCTGCTGACAGCGTACTACTGGCCATTTCATTATACGAGATAAAGGACTCCAAACGTCAGGTCATTTACTCTTTCGATGTATTATTGTCCTTTCAGTTCATCGGAGCCATTCCCGAGCCGCCACCCTCCATCGTCGAACCAGAGCCCGACGCAGTATCTGTAGACACTCACCCTGAAGTTTCAGAGTAAGCGTTAATTAATAGTATTAAAACAAATAGGTCGTTCTCCTAACTAATATTAACGTCCATTTCGCTTGAAGTTTAAGTAATAATTCACTTTGTGCGATATTTAAATGGTTAAGTAAAGGTTTACTCAGTGTATGGTCAATGCCCGGAGGATACAATTTGTTGTTGAGGTGCAGGCTAAGCCAAAGTGTCATTTGCTTGAGCAAATTTGTAGGAGTCGCAGCTGTTTATATCAGCCTATTTAGGCGGAAGATCATCCATAAGAAATGCGTCCAGTGATGTATACGTAAACCACAACGAAGAAAGCATAAGTATTTGAAGACATCGTAGCAACCATAATCATTGAATAGAAAAGACAGCTAACATGCATACGCAACAATGCTGGCATGGAAAGTCTTAGAACTCCTAGATTGCTTAGTATGCTTAATGTATCATTGACGTTTGCGCGTGTCCAATCGTCTTGAAGCCTTGGATATGGCATCACTTTGGCTAATATAAAATTTTAGACTACCTTTTTGTATGCTTCTTGATCAAATATGCTAAATATTTTCTTTTTTTCTCTACTACAGATTTCTTTGAAAGAGATTCCCAAGTTTACAAGCAGCAGTCGTGACGTCACATCTCGCTTTTGCATTTTTGTAAATATTTGTAATAAACATCCCTACATGTTTTAGTATTTATTCACCAATAGAATTGGTCTCTTTCTGCACTATTGTGTTTTTTTTTCTTTATAAGTAAGTACTACGACTGTTTGTTTCAAACGAACATGCAGGCTTCTCTTTAGGAAATTATAAAGTGTTTGAAAGCGTTTAATAAAACTCGCGCTCTAGCGATTTTCAGACATGTACGCTTCGTTGAGGCGCAAATATTCTTTGTCACTGAAATGACATTGCACAGACTAGCTAACATATGAATGTTAAAGGTAGTTTCTTGCATTGGCTTAAGGGCCGTGTGCATACAATAGAAGGCTGCAGGTGCGAGCCAGTTTATGGCGTACCATAATTTAGCATTGAAAGTTGCAGGCAGTCTGAGATGTTCGTAGTTTAAATTCAAAAGTGATATCGAAGGTGGTCACGCTTGGCGTGCAGAAAAAGCAGCCTACCTGTCACATCCGGCCGGAACCACTCTGGTTAAGGAAGCGAAGAAATTTGACTCAAAGCGCCTCGTCACCTTAAAGGGGCCCTGCAACACTTTTTGAGCATGGTCAGAGGGCACTGCCGATCGGTAGTTGAGGCTCCCGACAACGCGCTAGCTAAATATTATAACGCAGCACGCAGCCTGGAATTCACAATAAATTATCAGTCAGCTAAAAATTGCTTTCTCTTCTCTCGACAAATCACGGAAAATAAGCCCAGTAAGCCCGTTTATCATCCATTGACTGATTTGAACATGGCGCTTGGTAGTTACAGAGGTCGCCGCGAGAGGCCGTCACAAGTCCACGCGTGCGCCTTCTCGTAGGAACTTTAATTCGGAACTTTTCGTAAGAACTTGACTTAGGGCTGGCACGGTGGATGGACGTGTTTTTTGAGCGCTCTTGATCGACTGCACAGATAAGTGGCTTTGCATTTTTCCAGCTTGCTTTTATAATTAATAGGGCAGCAGTTTAAACTTTTGTAGCACTTATTACATTGTACGGCTTCTTTGGGGATTAGTCACCAGGTATTTACTTGTTTGTGTGTGTGTTTTGTTTGTGTTTTTTCTTGCCACCCTGTGGGGGAGGTGCACGTTCACCGAACACGCAAACTTTTGTAGTAGAGCTTAGACATTCTTTTTTTCTTAGGGCAGGATTCATTGCACGTCGCGTTTTGTAATTATTGAGTGGGACAATTCACAAGAACAAATGTTGTCCAAAAGACATGGTTAAAAGAGTGTAAAAAGTTCAGGATGCGGGGTGGGTTCGCAAATGAATGCAAGGGCAGACAGGAATGGAGAGGAGGCTGACGCCAAGTGTGGACGATGTGAGGTCGAGGGAAAAAATGGAGAAAATGATGGTTGCCCAGGGTGAACTGCTGATGAGAATCACCGAGCTGGAGACTGCGTTGGTGACAGAGCAAGAAAAAACGAGGGCTAGGGAAAAAGGCCCGGGTTCACCGAGGAGGCACTAGCGAAGGTGAACGAAGGAGCGGCTGACGGAGTGAACGGTAGGGCACCGGCAACCTGAATGGCGAAGAAGAAAGAGCAAGCAAGTTCGGAAAAAACAGGTTCAGCCGGCTCAATGGTCGCAAGACTTCAGCGAAGTAGTGGTGGGGTTGGGAGGGGAAAGAGCAGCCGACGTCACAGGTGCAAATAACTCCCAGGTGCAGGACGCTCCAGCTTAAACGTCACAGCAGTAGCGGCACCATGGACGTGAGCTAACGGGGAGGTTTAGACTCCCTCCTACGCCTAGCCGTGCGTACCTGAGCCATGCCTGAAGAAAACGAGATCCTGGGGGTTGAGCCGATCCCGGGTGATTGGACCTTTAATGCCCCCTGGTGGAGGCAACACAACTCTTTGGCCCCGACTGGACGTAGACGGCCCCCCTGGACGGACCCACCCAGGGGAAATCGGCAGTCGCCTTTTCCTATCTCTCTCTCCCTACATTTTCGTCTTTATCTCTCACTTTGTACCTCTCCTGTCTTCTACTCTCTTCTATTTATTTGCAAACTACCCGGCGGCTAGAGTTAACCCTGTGCAAATAGCCTACCTTGGTCTAGGCGCCTTGGCTTATAGTAGCGTTGTACGGCTGGTGTCTGCAGGTTTTAGCATCCGCAAACTTGTAGCATTCACTCGTTGGGCTCCGTGATGGGTGGTCGCCAACGCTTCTGAAGAAAATAAACAAGCATGCATAGAGCTTTTCTTCTGTTTAGTGATCGTACCGCCTTAAAGCGCATACGCACCGACGACTTTGCTTTTTTCAACCGATCAAATGAAAACTTCCCCCAATTTCATGTTATATATAGTGAGAAAAGTGGCAAGCAAGCCAGAACTGTGTCTCCCTTTGTAGCATCCAGGTGTCTTACAGAAACTGTTGGGGCCATGTACAAAGTTACCAAAATTGCCAGTGGAGACCTCCTCCTCGAAGTTCGAGAAATAGAACAGTTTGAGAAGAAATACAATCTTTCAAATTTTGGTGACATTCTGATCACTGTAACACCACACAGATCAATGAGCACAACTCGTGGAGTGGTATCTGACACTGATTTGCTTGGCCTGACCGAAGGAGAACTACTGGAGAGTTGGAAAAGTCAGAATGTGGCCATTGTACTGAGGATTATCATCATAAGAGACAACAAGCAAACACCAACAAAACACCTTATACTCATCTTCGCCTCCAGTAATCTGCCAGAAACTATTCAAACCCGGTACAGGAAGACTTCAATCAGATCATACATACGTAACCCACATCGTTGTTTTAAATGCCAGAGGTAAGGCCACAGCTCGCAAAGCTGTCGTGGTCACCAAACTTGTGCACTATGTGGAGTGTCAGGCCACGATTGCGACAACTGCAAAGAACCGTCACGCTGTGTGAACTGTGGCGGAAATCATGCCGCATACTCACGGTCCTGTTCATTTTGGAAAAAAAGAAAAGAGATCATCACATTGAAGATAAAACAAAGCATCACATTCAAAGAAGCAAAAAGAGGAGTGTCGCTATTTTATGGCCCCACAATGTTGCTTATGCCGCTCGTCAGGGGGAACCGCTGCACCAGCCCTCGCCACTCCTTCGGCCAGCGCAGAGCGAGCCGTCGGCTGTGGCGCCTGCCCCCAAGGCAGCAGTTGTTCAGTCTACTCCGCCTCCGAGCGAATCGAGGCTGGAGACTCCAGGGTCCTCTGGTCTCAAGGCCTCATCTCACCAGGCGAGGTTCAAAATCCAAACCACTAGCTCGCATGAGCAAGCATCCAGTGCCTCCGAGGAGGCAATGGATACAACAGTACCATTGGTGCCGAAAGAGCGGCGTGGCTCCTTGGAGCGCGCCAAGAAAAATAAAAAGCCACTAACGGGGCCGGGCGACCGTCCTGCCACCTGAATCAACGATTTCATTCCAATACAGGATACTCTGTGAACACACAGTAGTATCTCGTCTTAATATGCAGACAGAAATATTACAGTGGAACATCCAAGGCCTTCTTCGAAACCTCGATGACCTACAAGAACTCCTCCGTGAACACAATCCAAGAGTGATGTGTGTACAAGAGACACCCTTAAAACGAACACACACAAACTTTCTACGTAACTACGTAATTTTCCGAAAGAATAGAGATGATGTCGTGCCATCATCTGGTGCTGTAGCTGTCGGTGGTCAATGGATAGAATGTACACAATTACCCCTTCAAACTTCCCTCGAGGCGGTGACTGTCCGAGCTGTTCTTCTAAACAAACTCGTTACCGTCTGCTCTTTGTGCATACCTCCTTACCACCGTCTTGAAAAACGTGAATTCAAGTCTTTAATAGACGAGCTACCTGAACCTTATCTGGTCTTCGGGGACCTGAACGCACATAGCGGTCTATGGGGTGATTCTCGCTGTGATGCACGAGGTCGTCTCTTTGAACAGTTTCTCTTCTCTTCCGGTGCAAGTGCTCTCTCAAAAACATTTGTTCAAGAAATAGGAGTACCGCAAGGTGGGGTACTTAGTTGTGCACTTTATTATCAAAGTGAATTCCTTGCACCTGTCCGTCCCCCACAGTATGTTCTATTGTACATATGTCGATGACGTCCAGCTTGGCTTCAAGTCATGCAACGTGGCAATGTGTGAGCGGCAGGTTCAGCTAAGTTTAAACAAGGTCTCCAAAACAACAGAAGAAAATGGATTCTGACTGAACCCACAAAAAAGCACATGCGCCTTGTTCTCCCGAAAGAGAGGCATGAACTCCGAACCTGCCATTCGAATGAATGGTCAACGTCTGTCTGTTAATGCCGAGCATAAATTCTTAGGCCTAATCTTGGACCACAAGCTAACCTTCATACCGCACATCAAGTATTTAAAAACAAAATTTGTAAAAGCCATGAGTGTTCTAAAAGTGTTGTCACGTACTACGTAGGGTGGGGACAGCCAATGTCTCATGAATTTGTATAGAAGCCTCTTTCGCACCCGCTTAGATTAAGGTGCCGTTGTTTATCAGTCTGCGACTCGAAGTGCTTTGAAGATGCTGGACTCCGTGCACCATTTGGGCATCCGTCTTTCTACGGGTGCTTTTCTCACCAGCCCCGTAGAAATCCTTTACGTTGAGTCAAATGAGTGGTTGCTTCATCTGCAGAGAACTTACATGTCCTTTGTATATTTCCTAAAGGTAAAAACAGACAAAAAGCACCCCTCATACTCCACTGTCAATAATTTGTCGAGCCTTGCTGTGTTTGAAAAACGGCCTCCTATGAGACAGCACTACTCACTCCGTGTGAGGGGCCTAGCGAAGGAAACCGGTGTGCCACTTGAACACCGTTTGATGGCTCCCGCAGTATGCCTGCCACCGTGGCAGTGACAGGCGATAGATTGCGACGTGTCTTTCTTGAAGGTTACGAAGCACACCCCAATTGCACATATCGAGACATACTTCCTTGAACTACAACATAAATACACATGTCCTGACTCGTTCTTTACGGATGCTTCAACGTCCAGCACTTCTGTCTCGTACGCAGCCGTCGGCCCATTATTTTTGGAAGCCGGCGTTCTACACTCTGATACAAGCAATTTCACCGGCGAAGCTTGTGCGATTCGTGTGGCCGTTAAACA